TCTCATATGGGGAAACTGAGGCCCAGGATGACATGCAAACTGAAGTCTACTGTTTATTCCTTTGAGATCAGAGGTCCAGGACCCTCAGTACCCATATTTGTAAGAGGGAGCTCCAGAAAGATACTGTTGCCAGTAAGAAGAGCCATGGTGCAGGTTTTGGCTTTCCCCATGGTGCTTGTGGTAGCCCTGCTATTCTAGTATTGGGTGGTTGAGTTCTCCAGCCAAGAAGGTGTGCAATCAGAAGCAGTGGTCTAGGGCTAGGGGAAGTCCCACCCTAAGCAAAAAGAAAAGCCAGTTCTTTGAGCCCTGCAGTCTTGACTCATCTGGAAGCCAAGGCTCTTCCCTGCTTCCCTCCTTCCTTCCCATGGGGCCAAGCCCAGATGTACACATACCTGGGAATAGACATTGGCTCTGCTGTGTGCCAGTGGAGTTATTTGGAGCACATCACTTCTCTGCTTGAAGCCTAGTGTCCTCGTGTGTAAATGGGAGATAATGAGTCTACCCAACCTGAGGGTTGTTACCAATATTAAACACAGGGACACTGCCTTGCACAGGGCCTGACCACACTGTGGACTCCCACCTCAGGCTGTGGCTCCCCTTCCATACTGAGCTAAGGACTCAGCCTAGCACTAACATACACTTGTTGGGCCTCCAGCCCTTTCTAGGCCTTGAGCAGCCTGTCTGAGAAATGGGTACAATAAGCACCAAGTCAACCACTTTCCAAGCACCAAGGAGGGTAAATAAATGTTTGGGGGGAACCATGACTTAACTCGCTCTCCTTGGGCCCCACTCTAGTCAGCTTGAGGAGTAAACAGAGCAGGTCATGGGATGCCTAGAAGTCACACTACAGAACTGAGTGACCTGTATCAACACCCCTTTCTAGGAGTGGAAGGCAGAGGCAAGCTGTCTGTCTGCTAAAGAGGGGGGAACACATAGGAGGTGACCAGACTGAAGCACCACAGCACTGAGTCATTTGGGCCCTCTGGAACCCCTAACTCCCCAAATGCTGCCTTGCCTAGCTAGGGACCTTTCACTCGCGGAAATGAGGCGGATCTCTCATACCTTCACCTCCACCAAGGCTCTTTCCCAGAGCCAAGAAGTGATCCACCATGCCTGCTGGGACTTGCTGTGTACAGGAAGTGGCGTGGCAGGGAGTTCCAGATAATAGAGCACTGTCTGCCCCGGTGGGACCTCCCTGCAGAGGGTCCATGCTTGCCTCCACCCCCAACCACCGTTCTGCCTCTGCCCCTGAAGCTGTCCTGGGCTTCTCACTCTGAGGCAGGTTGGATCAGGGCAGGGAAAGTGCTTTGTCAGCGCGGGCTCTGCAGAAGGTAGACACCAGGGCTGAAAACAGCCCTGACATGTGGGTGATTACTCCATAGCCTCCCTCCCAGCAGAGCAGGATCACAGCGCAGGGTCCTGTTCTGCCCTCAGGTCTTCGAGGGCTGATGATAGCCGTGATGATGGCTGCGCTCATGTCGTCACTGACCTCCATCTTTAACAGCAGCAGCACACTCTTCACCATGGACATCTGGAGGCGGCTGAGGCCCTGCGCAGGAGAGCGGGAGCTGCTGCTGGTGGGACGGTATGGGGGGCGGGGAGGGGCCCTGCAGCACCATCTGCCTGTGAAGTCCTCACCAGATTTGGGTTTTGAAGGATGCATAGGAATTTGCTAAGCAGAGAAAGAGTATCTGGGGGTACACTTGTCATTCCTGAGCAGATTCCTTCAACTGGAGTCAGTTCTGCTTCCCCAGCTGCCCCTAAGATCTTTCTGAGCCTTGTGGTTTGCTCCAGCTACCCTGGGATCCCAGAGCTGCTCCTCAAACTGGCCACACCCAGACCATAATGATGCCCCTAGTCTTAGGTCTACAACACCCTGGGCCATCTGAGGACCTGCTGTTTCCTGTGGCTGGTTTATGCTTTCCTTACTCAGCCCAGCACTCAGCCTCGTTTCTGTCATCTGTACTGCCCTCCAGATACTCCCCCCCCAGGAGTGAGCACTCCCCACTGTGCCCCAGATCACTACCAGATCCCTCCCTCGAGTACGCAGCAAAAATATGTGAAAATGAGCCTCCCTGCAGGACACTTCCACCCTACCCGTGTGCTTGACTGTGAGCCTGGCAGGGACTGGCCAGGGCAATTGAGAGTGGTCTCTTGGTGTGCCTGCTCACTTTACAAGGGCTGACTGCAGCCTTCCTCCTAGAGCCTGGGGCAGGGGCTCTCCCCTCATTTGTCCCCGGTGATGCAAAGCATCCAGCTTCTGTGAGAGGAGCCCTGCTGGAACATGCCTAGGAGCCTGGGTGTCATGAGCTCATCTGCAGGAAGGGAACCTCTGGCCTCTGTAGCAGTTCACGTTCTTATCTATCAGACCTGGTCACATGACACCTGACCACCTGTGTGCTCTCTGCAGCTGCCGTGTGACCAGAGGCCAGACAATCCCTCTGAGATACCTTTTTCCTTGTAAGAAATCCTTCAGACTATCACCTCCTAGGCCCTGGGTCTGGACATCTCCGTGCCTCGCAGTGGGTGCCCGCTCTCTGTTCTGGACTCTAGCAACCTGGCCTCGCAGCTGCCCCATTCAGTCTCTTCCCTTGGGGTTCTATGCCCAGCTGAGCAATTCGGAGGACTCAACCCCCGCCCCCCCCACACACACACACAAAATACAACACAACGCAGTGTCAGCCACTCAGGAGATTGGGTGTGTGCGCGCCCCCTGGAGGCTGCTTTAGGAAGAGGCAGCCGCCTCCTCATCCAGGGGCCCGGCTTGAACCGAAGACCAGGAGTGCGAAGATGAGGCCCAGGATCTGCTGGGCCCTCCGGCTGGAGGGTGGAGGGCGTGTCGGTGGAGACCGCCTGGCTTTGAAGAGGCCGCGCCCGGCTGTGCTCCAGTCTAAGGGTTAATTAGCCTCAATCAAAGCGGCACCTCCTCCTTCTGCCTTCCTCTGCCCCGGGTCTGGCCGGAAGCAAAGTGGGACGGTGGGGGAAGGACCTATCCACCTGCACACAGCCGGTTGGCCACGCCTACCATACCCCTGAGTGAGAGTGGGGAGAGGACTCAGCCAGGTGGGATTCCAGCCCTAGCAAGGTTGTTCAGTCTCTGAGTTTCCAGGGTTCCCCGTGAAGCCCCCAGACCCACACTACCCTTGGGTTCCCTTGGGCATAAGACAAGTGGATCTGTTTGTAAGGCCAGCCCCAAAGCAGGCGAACTTTCAGCAAGGCCTCAGGAGGATCAAAGCGCCTGTGGGCAGCGGGTAGGTGTGTGTATGTGTGTGGGGGTCACCCACCAAGTGCTGAGGGCTAAGGGCTAAGGATATACTGGTTGTGATGGTGCAACCTCCATCAGTCCGCCAAGGAGTCAGAAGATCCGCGGGTATGATAAGTCCCACTAGGCTGGCTCATGTGCGAGGGTTACTGTGTCATTTACCAACCCCAAATGCCTAGTGAACTCAGAAAAACGCTGGCACCCAAGCACATGCTTGCCAGCAGAAGAGGCACACGGAGCGGAGAAGGCACGACGAGGTTGAGCGACTGGCCCCAAGGGCCACAGGGAGCCATGGCAGGAAATGGATCAGGAGCGCCTGGTTCCTGCTAGCCTGCGCTGAGATGGGCAGAGGGAACCAGAGGCAGGTCTTGGGGAACAGGGGAAGTACAGAGCTGAGGCAGGGCTGGTCGCTGCCGCCCACAGGCTGGTCATCGTGGTGCTCATAGGCGTGAGCGTGGCCTGGATCCCAGTCCTGCAGGGTTCCAACAGTGGACAGCTCTTCATCTATATGCAGTCGGTGACCAGCTCGTTGGCGCCCCCTGTCACCGCCGTCTTTGTCCTGGGCATCTTCTGGAGGAGGGCCAATGAGCAGGTGGGTGGCACGCACAGGTCGAGCTGGGTTCCCCTTAAGGGTGCCCCCACGAGTCCTCTGAGGCCTTCCTCTGTCTCTCTTTTCCTCCAGGGAGCTTTTTGGGGCTTGATGGCCGGGCTTCTGGTGGGTGCCCTGAGGCTGGTCCTGGAATTCCTGTACCCGGAGCCCCCATGTGGTCAGGCAGATGAGCGGCCAGCCCTCCTCCGCAGTGTACACTACTTGCATTTTGCCATTGCCCTCTTCCTCCTCACTTGTGCTGTGGTGGCCGCTGGGAGCCTACTGAGTCCACCCCCTCAGCAAAGACAGGTGAGACAGGCCTGTCCCCTGACCCCAGTTACCACAGGCCCCATTCCTGACCTGATTCCTGTCTCTGCTAACATGCAGATCTCTGCCGGTCTCTGCCTCCAGACAGTCCCACTGTTGACTCCTAACCCTTCCTGGCCCAGGCCTCTCTGTCTTTGAACTAAGCTCCTTCTGTAGCTGACCCGCATACTCTCAGGGGCCACTCTGTCCTGCCACACCTCTCTTCCCTGCAGGTAGAAAACCTCACCTGGTGGACTCTGGCTCTGGACCAGTCCTTAGGAACCAAAGCAGGTAAGTGGGTGCCCCTGGGACTGCACTCCAGGCCTCCCCCATGCTGGGGCTAGGGATATGGACACCCGAGTATAGCCTGCATCCCTCACTGCCCTGCTTCAACCTACTGTAGGTGATGGCCAGACACCCCAGAAACATGCTTTCTGGACCCGTGTGTGCAATTTCAACGCCATCTTCCTCATGTGTGTCAACATCTTCTTCTATGCCTACTTTGCCTGATGCTGCCACCCCAGGGGAAATATGGGAGCTTCAAGTCCTTGGGGCCACCCTCCTTCCTAGGTTGGACATGGATGCCCGAGGGAACAGAGTGTGTCAACATCTGTACAGTGGGTCAGTACCAAGTGTCTGGCTGAGCCAGCAGAACTGGAGCTCTGAAAATATAGTGGAGAATCATTTCAAAAACAACACTAAACAAGTCAGATATGAGGGGTTGCTGGGAGGAGAGGAGGGAGGGGAAACTTTGGTTGGGATGTAAAAACAAAAATAAATAAAAAATAATTTAAATGTAAATAAATACAAAAAAAGAGAAGTCAGAAATGGGGAAGAAGACTGTTGGATGTCTACTGGTTAATGTTTTATTTTGAATATGCAGGTATAGGTTCAGAGTATAGGGTATGCTAGGCTCAGAGCTTGAAGGGTCTTGGGCCGGCCTGACTTAGACAACTACAGAGGCACATGTTCGCCCTCTTTCCTTTCTCTCTCTCTCTCTCTCTCTCTCTCTCTCTCTCTCTCTCTCTCTCTCTCTCTCTCTCTGTCCCCAAAGTCTACCACCCTGCCAGGCCTTGTCAAGTCTGACTCAGTTTTTTCCCAACCTGAAGGTGCTTTCACTCTGGGCAGAGACAGCTCAGGTTCCCTTCCATGGCCAGGCATCACCCCCTTGGATGGTCAGGCATCACTCTCTTGGACTTCATATTCACTCAGTGCTGGTCATAGATGTCTGTTCCTCTAGGACCAGCATAGCCCAGGCCTCCAGGATGGGCTCTCTCTACATCCAACAGGAGGAGACCTATTGTGTGGCTTCTGTCCCTAATGGGCCTCTTCCAATGGGACTCACCTCTATAAAGCCTCATCCACTGCTGGTGGGGTAAGGCCAAGTTGTTGGATTAAGAGAAACTACCCTGCGCCTTCATGGAAGTTCAGGTCACTCAGGGCTAAGCCCACATTCCCAGTAACTAGCACAACCTGAAGGGTGCTTCTGGAAGATGGCAGCAGGTGGCTGCTCAAGGGAATACTCTCTGAGCTGGGCCCTAGCCATTAGCAATTGGTCCTCAAGCCTGGAAAGGCTGGGTCTTGTAGCAGGTGATGTCAAGAACCCAGCAATCAGCCTGGGGGCCACCAACTTCGGTCCTGGTTAGTTGTGAAGAGGCTGAGCCTGGAGCATCCACTCCTCTGGTCTTGTAGGGTCACAGGTGTACTGGCTGCACATAGCTCCGTGGGAAAAAACCCAGGCGCCCTCTAGCCCGGCCCCGCCACCAGTGCAGGTCCCCACACTCCACGACTTCCACAATGTCACCTCGGCGGAGGCTGAGCTGAGACGGGTCCTGTGCCGAGAAGTCAAACTGGGCCTGGACAAAGCAGGCCCGGGTCGGCTGTGGAGGAGTAGGGGCAGAATAGTCAGTGGTCTTTGGAGGCAGTGAGCTGCCTTTCCCCGGGAACCCCATGGAAGAAGTGAGGGCCTGTTGGGAGACATGGGCCAGGCAGCCCTGCTGCACAGCCACAGCCCTGTGCCTCAAGTGGGACATGGTTAGGCCCAACTCTCTCTGGGTCCTATTCCCTATCTCTGGGCCCACACAAACATGGTAACTGATAGCAGGCATGGAAACCGATAAGGAGCAGTTTCTGCCACAGTCCCCTCAGACTTGGGGGAGTGGAACCCCTGCTTCTGCAATCTGCCCTCAGATTTGGGTTCCAGGTGTGGCTTCAGTTCCTCTCTGCCTCCTGGGCCCTAGTGTCTTCCCTACTGCTCTTGCTGAGCACAGGCCTTCCCCTGTGCCTCTGCTGAGCCTGCAGAACTTCAAAACATGATAGGATCAGTGGGCTCTGCCCAGGAAGGAAGAGACTCACCCTGCTCCCTGACAGTGGTGACCCCAGGGCTCTGGCAGAGCCAGTACAGGGGAACACAGGCCAGGTCAGCCTCCCTCTTCTACCAGGCATGGCTGGCCTAGATGGTGAGCAGGGGGCTGAGTCTGGAACACTGGACCCCAGAAGGTAGGGGCTTCCAGCCGCCTTAGCTCACCAGGCCAGGCAGTGGAGCCACGTGGGCACCGTTGGCTTCTCTGAAGTCATGCGTGTCTCTTCTGGTATAGCAAACCCCTAGCTCATCCTATCAAATAGAGGGGAAGCCAAGGCCCAACTAAGGATGGAAATGGTCCCCATGCATCAGAGAAGAGGAGAAAACACAAGGTCAGACTGTGCAAAGTTGGACAGCCCTCCCCAAGCTTTGGCTGGAGTCACACTCTCCCTCTGTAGTGCTCAAGTTCAAATACGCCCAGGTCTAAGCAAAGCCATGCCGCACTAATAACCCGGTCGGCTGGTGTCGTCATCCTAATGAGAGTGAGAGCTGTTCCTGGCTCCTTGATGAAAGGACTGGCTGGGGGCAAATTGCTGTTATTGGGAGGCCAGGTGGTCATAATGCAGAGTACCAGGCTCATCCCAGTGCTTGCAAGGCTGAGGTAGGAGGACCACTGAGACTTCAAGGTCAGTCTGTTCTACATAGCGCATCTCAGGCCAGCCAGAGCTACACAGAAAGATCCTGCCTCAAAACAAACAAAAATCCTGCCGAAACCCAAATCAGAGTGCACAGTGCAGCTCAGTGTATGGGACCCAGCAGGTGTCCCTGCGTTCATTCATCATAAATCATTTATTTTCACCTATGGCACACTCCAGACGATCTCAGTCTGTGTTATCAAGGTGGAGTTCCTGCACTGTTCCTACCCTCTCCCCTGCCCCATCCTTGCTTAACTCCTGTAGGGACCACACTTGTGCCACGTGGGGCCCTGGGCTTCTGGGGAGGGCAAGGAGGTGCCCCCGAGACTCAGGGCTCCTCGTCCCATCTTTACCTGGAGCAGCGGCTGCTCATCACACAGGAAGATCTGCCGCCTCTTGGCGATGGTGGTGGTTCGGTAGAAGTCGACCAGCTCGTTGAGGGAGTTGAACTTCTCTTCCCACAGGAAGTACTTCCCTGAGGCCTCTCGAAGCACTTTGAAGTGCTGCACCTGGTCACCATAACTGAAGGGAAGACCCAGTGCCTCAGACCTGCCCCCACCTCTGGAGCCAAGCCCTGCTCTGGGTGTATCTGGAGTCCAAGGAGGCAAAGATACTGGGAGTCATTTTGGCAGTAGAATATTGGATTCAGGGTATGGGCTATAGGCAAGGCCACTTCCTTGCTGGGTGACTTCAGGAAAGTGTTTTAACTTCTCTGAACCTCAGTTTTCTTATAGGGAAAACACTTCATTAGGATAAGGAAGCTGAAAAACAACATTGACTGGCTCACCGGCATCATCACGGGCACCTGTGGGTGCATCTCTTTCATGCCTCTTGTGCGTCCCCTCCACTAGGACATTCTCCTGCTTCCCCTGCCCTGCCCAGTCCTCACAGTCCTCTGGGGAGTGAGTCCCAAGATCATCCAGACTCCAACCAAACCCTGTGCCTGTGAGAGACATTCAGGTGTTTGGAACACTCCGTGTCCTTTCTTTCCCTTCAAGAGCCTTCCATGGCTGCCAGTGCCCTCATGATAAACCCAACTCTTCAGATTCAAGAATCTTGTCTTTGCTGGCTTCTCTGACACCAATGTTCCCTTTCTTTCTAATTCTTTGTTCATCCTTTCAGACCAATGCCACCAAACTGTACCAAGTCCATGACCGTCCTGTTAGGAATTGTGCCCAGGGACCAGCCTGGGTCTAGCCTGCCATCTGTCACACGCCAGAACAGCCAGGCAGCTTCAGAGGTGCTGTTGTGAGTGGGCACAGTGGCAGCTGTTGATCCTGGGACCCCTTTCCTGTCACAGGGTGGCTAGTCCTACCTCCTGACCCTATGCACAGTAGGGAAACTGAGACCTGAGTGCAGCTACAGCCTATCTGGAAATCCACAGGAGAAAGGCTGGGTGCGGCTGCCTCTCATCACAAATGCTCAGAGGAGCTCTCTGATTGATTACTGGTGGTGACAATGGCAGTTGTCACTCCCACTGCGACATTATGTCCCAGATATTATTCCAAATACGACCTACTCCCTGGGCTGCGCCCTCCAGAGAGACCGTTCTCCTCCCAAGTTCTGTAGCTCCACCTTGCCCTCCTCTGGTCTTCCTCTCACCAGCCCCGGGGATGGGCTGGAAGTTTAGGATGAAGACAGCACTAGGAATCCGAGGACGCTCCCTGCCCAGCCCTGACTAAAGTCTGGAGAGGGCGTCGGCCCACACCTGTAACTCCAGAGTCCAGTTTGAAACCAACCTGAACTACATAAACAAATCTCTCTTTAGGCCTTGGCCTCCCAGTAAAAAAGAGTATTTCTGCATTCCCACTCATGTTCAAGTCCCTGATAAACTGCCCACCTCTGGAGAGCTGACCTCACTCGCCTTATCAGGGTCGGGGTTCAACTTGGGTCCCTATGTCCTCATGCAGCCATGTTGCTCACAAAACCCGCAAAGCCTTGCACACAGGCAGCAGAAGCGGGATAGAGCCGCCCTGAGAGTCCCCACAGCCCACTCTGCCTTCAGCCTTCACCACAGAGACACCCTTGAGGGCCTCCCTCTCGATAGAGCCGCGGGCCCTCCCCACAGGCTTTGCTGAGGGCTTTTCCAGCCCCACCAGCAGTTACAGCACTACCATGCACCTTTGGAAGGGACAGGTTCCCCTCAGTCAAAACTGACAGCGTAGTGTTCGCAGAGACTAAGCTGTGGGTGCTGAGGGTGAGCAAGGGACGGTGGGCCCCTCTCTCTGGCCTCAGGTGTAGCTGCATGGGGAGGAGTCACTGTGAGCAGCAGAGTGACTTGGTGTGGCCAGGAGTACAGGGACCCAGTAAGGCAAGACGGGGTGGGGCGGGGCAGGCTCCAGACTCCTAAACCCTTGCTCCTCGGAAAGCAGCTCAGAGCCCGAGGCTTGGAGAATTTTGCAGAGGACTGCTCTTAGATCCCATGGGAGAGCTAGGGGACAGGGCATGGGGCCAGGAGTTCTAGAACTTTCCCACCTAACAGCTGGGAAATTCTTAGGGCTGGGAAAATGTGACAGTCCAGACTGTATGTGACATGTCTTGTCCTTTCTGCTACCTGACCTACAGCTTTCCCTGTTTCCCAGCTGAGGAGTGCTAGGCTGTCTGGAAAGGGGTCAGTCTCTCTATGTCACCATCCCACACTGCTTATCAGGACCCCACCCTGTAGCCCCCCTCCCAGCCCCCGAACTGGGTTCCGGAGAAGAGGTGGCATGGTCTGGACTCTGGGGTTTGCAGTGTTCCCTGGCAACTGTCTTCACCCATCTCTACCTTGCTGGGCATCACTTTGTGAGCCTGACCCCAAGCCCCACAGGGACTGTGCTTTCAGAAAGCTCACGGTCCTAGTCTAGACAGTCTTGTTCATCAAGTCTTTCCTGCCTAGTTGCAGCAGCAGCCGCTGAGAGGGGAACCGAGATTGGGTGGGCAGGAGCCCATGTTCCCCTGTTCCCAGCTGGGACTCACCTAGGTCAGGTCTGGGCACTCACCGCTCTGTCAACTGGGGACCAGGGAGAGGAGTAGAACACCTTCACTGGAGCACACAGGGAGAAGGCAGCTGACCTTGAGAGGGCCTGCCGAGTCTTTGTGTTTCAGAAATGGTCTGTCAGGACACTCCAGGTCAGCAGCAAGTTTCTCACCCTCCCAACACTGGTTTCTTTACCTCCACGCTGAGATCTACAGCCCTGCCCCATTTTCTCCAGGCGCCATGATTTGCTGATCATGTGTTTTCATCATTTTAGGAGGACACAGGTATGTGGGAGACAAGGGGCTTTGCCCTGTTTTGTGGCGGTCCCAGGGACAGGGCTTCGTTCACAGTAGGTGTTCAGTGTGGTACCAATCTGGTGGTATACACAAGTGTACACTAACCCCAAGGCATGGTCGGAAGGGAAGCAAGACTCCTTAACTGGGGACTAGACCCCATCAGCTGTGACAAAAGAGTCTCCAGTGGCCTGGATAGAAGTACGTGGGGGTAGTTAGGCAGACAAGTGCCAGCCAGTGGGTTCAAGGGGGTCAGCTCTCTGAAACCTCCCCAGTGAACTAGCTGTGGCTATGGTACCCAAGGCCCATAAAGCAGAAAGCCCCTGTGACAGCTTTACGTGTCTTGGCATGAACTTGTGGGACACCCATGCCAGGGAGGGTGGACTGTCAGGTTGACCTCAGAGGATGTGACCACTAAGAGAGGACCAGAGTTTACCTGAAGTCATACACGAGTCCCAGGCAAAGCCAACCAACTAGTTTGTCTTCCGGGAAGGCCTGGGCAAGGGCAATGGAGCCAGAAGTGGTCTCTGAGCAGGTACTCCCCTCCAGGTCCACCTCTGGACGTTGTTATGTAGTGTGCATCCAGAACACAGTTCTGTTTATGCCAATGCCTACTTTACAGACGGGGAGGCTGAGGCTCCCGGGGCAACTTGCCTGGATTTCAGGGCTAGAAGGTGTCAGAGCGGGGACTCGCTCCCATTCTGGGATCCTTAACTACACATTAGTCTCAAATCCCTAACCCAGTCTGGGAGGAATCAAGGGTGGAGACGGCCACCTGGTGGTCCAAGCTGGGGAAGCACTGGCAGGGCCTACCATGGCACTTGTCCAGGAGTTCTTGGGAAGGGGGTGTGGTGTGTGCCAGGGTTTCTTTCAGCACTGAGCACTGGCCCAGCTCCCCTACTGGAAAACTGCCCCAGAGCATTGCCATCTCCCCTTCCAGTCAGGCATGTTACCACCCAAGCAGCCCTCGTTGTACAACCTCTGGATCGTCACATGCTGTTTCTTCTGCCTGACTCCCCCAGCCCCTAGCAGAGCTCGCACACATGCTTTAGGCCTGACTCTACTGCCCCTTCTCCTCTTGGAGTGTGCCCCTGTAGAAGTTCTGGGTCTGTGTGTATCCCATCATACTCCCTGGCTTCTGCCTTTCTGCCCCTGTCCCAGGCTGACTAGTCAGGGCCACTCTCCAAGATCTGCCAAGGCAGCCTGGGTCTCTGGGGAGCTCAAGATGGGTGTGGCGGGACAGTTTTCTCTTTGCTCCTGCTCTAGGCTTGATCTGTGTCTGGGCTCCCCTGCTTGGCTAGATGACCTTGGGACTTGGGGAAGCTTCCAGGGGCTATCTTCCTGGTGGGTGTTATGCCTAGGAGCCACTTCCTGCTGTGGCTTACAGGAGCCAAGGGGCAGGGATATACAGAACGGCCTCAGGACCCTCGTGCACAAAGAGTGTCAGATGGGCAAGAAGGCTGGAGAAGGTGTGGGGGACCCTCCGGGAGTAGCCAATGGCTACTGCACAGCTGGGGTGGCTGCTAAGCAGCTGCAGTAGACAGAACATGTGACACAGCCAGGCTGTGCCCCCAGGGCAGTAGTGCCCCCCCACCCCAGGTGGGTTTTCTGCTCAGAGCAGAAGGGAGGGGCCACTGCCCACAGGGTCTTCACATATTGCTATGATCCTCAGTATGTCTATTGTGGAAAGCCACTGGCCTGGGAGCTAGCATCCTTGAAGAGCACACACAGGCCACACCTTCCTCTGTCCCTTTAGCACCGTAGCATGCCTCATTTCAGTACTCTAGGAGCAGGCAGGCAACAGAGCAGATCCTGTTGGTAGGTCTGCTGTCCTAAGCCATGCCACCTCTCAGGCCTTGACACCCCTGCCTCCCCTATCACACTATCTGCTGCTTGCTTCCTGCTGCCTCACCCCAAAAGTCCTTCCCTCTCACAGCCACCAGGGGGACCTGCTATGGATGGAACCTTTCCCACTCAGAACCCCTCAAGGCTCCTCTGCTCCGAGAGAAAACCCAGGCTGTGTACCAGGCCCTCTGACATGCTGTCCCTCCCTCTTTGAGTGTGAGCCAGCCCGTGCCCCTTGCTTCCTCTCCTCCCACCACCTGGCTTCAGGGTTCTAGCACTTCCGGGGTGGGGGGCTTTGCTCTGCAACTCTCTCTGCCCGAAAGCCCGCCCTGGGAGCCAGGCAGAAGAGCTCCTCCCACCTCAGAGACCCCAGCAGTCTTCCCTGATTAGCCTCCTGACGCGTGTCCTTCCTTGTTTCTGTCTCCCAGTGCTGCCACCTTTGTCCCCTATGCTGTCCTTTCCCAGTTTCCAGCCAACCCGGCCCAACTTAGCAGTCAATAACCTGCCAGAGCTGGCAGCCGAGGCTGCCCCTGCTGCCCTCAACCCTACTCTGTTATACCAGACTGACGAGCTACTGTGCTCATCCTAATAAGCCACATGGTCCCCAGTTCAGCAGCCTCGCTTTAGCTTCTGCTGCCAGGCCCTGTCCTAAAAGATGTGAGGTCCTCACTATGGAGTAAACAACAGTCTGCTTTAAAATACTGACTCACTCATTCTTGCAATGACGTATTTTACCTATGAGGAAACAGACCCAGAGAGGTTAAATAACTGGTCCTATGCCACACAGTCACGCACAAGTGTCTGACCTCAAGGTCTGTCCTCCCAACAACATTGCCTGTCAGGAACACTCTCTGAGCACCAGTCTGGGCACCACTGGGCATCATTCTTCCTCTAACCAAGAAGCTGATCAGGCAAGAAGGTCCGGCCTTCTCAGACTGCCACCTGAGGGTGCACCCCGTCTGCTCTCAGCACTTCCTGGTGCTTTTCAGGACGCAGACCAAGGCTTGCCTCTAAGCCCTTTACCCAGCCAGTGGCTCTGCCAGGCCTGCCCTTGTACCCACCCACCCGGGAGCTCACTTCACAGAGACGGAGAACTCGCCAGGGGAGCTCTCACTCTCCCTGATGAGGAAGGCTCCTAAGTGGTTCCGTTTCATCAGAGTCTCTTCAGCCAGCTGCCGAGAAATCCTGCCCGAGTACCACCTGTGCAGAGAGGGGACAGTGTCAGCAGGTATCTGTTAGCGCTGGGCAGGGCTGGCCCTCTGTCCCTGGTCTCATTGTCTCATTATACACATGGGGAAATTGAAAAATGGGGAAGAAAATCAAGGCCACACAGCAGAGGCAAAAAAGAACTGAGACGACCTGTCCCTGCTGCTTCCTACCAGGCCAGACAAACCCACACCCAAGACAAACAAAAACCAGGCTCCACTGCTTTGCCAGTCTGCACACTCCGGTCTGACTTGTAGATGGAGAATTCCCTTTCCTTTTTAAGATTTATTATTATTATTTAAAAATTATATGTAAAACATGTACGTGTGTGTGGACACACACACAGATATATATGGGTGGTGTGTGTGCACATGAGTCCAGAAGAGGGTGTCAGATCTCCTGGAGCTGGAGTTACAGGTGGTTGTGAACTGCCTAATGTAGGTGTTAGAACCAAACATGGGTTTCTTGCAAGAACAGTATGTACTCTTTTTTGCTATTTTGTTCTGTTTTGTTTTTGTTTTTTAAGACAGGCTTTCTCTGCATTGCTCTGGCTGTCTGGAACTAACTCTGTAGACCAGGTTAGCTTCAGACTCACAGAGACCCACCTGCCTCTGCCTCCCAATTGCTGGGATTAAAGGCATGTACCACCACTGCCAGCCAGTATGTTCTCCTAACCACTGAGCTAGCCTTGACTTTTTTAAAGATTTATTTATTTATTATGTATACAGTGTCCTGCCTACAGCATATATTCCTGTAGGTCATAAGAGGGCACCAGATCTCATTACAGATGGTTGTGAGCCACCATGTGATTGCTAGGAATTGAACTCAGGACCTCCGGAAGAGCAGCCAGTGCTCTTAACCTCAGAGCCATCTCTCCAGCCCAATTTTTTTTTACATTAAGATTTATTTATTTATTGCTGGGTGGTGGTGGCACATGCCTTTAATCCCAGCACTCAGGGGACAGAGACAGGCTGATCTCTGCGAGTTTGAGACCAGCCTGGTCTACAAGAGCTAGTTTCAGGACAGGCTCCAAAGCCACAGAGAAACCCTGTCTCAAAACCCCCACTCCAAAAAAAAAAAAAGATTTATTTATTTCTGCGTGGGCACACATATGCAGGAATATATATACCAGGCACACATATGCAGGAATATATATACCAGGCACACATATGCAGGAATATATATACCAGGCACACATATGCAGGAATATATATATACCACACACACATATATGTAGGCCAGAGACAACCAGTTCTCTCCTTCCAGCATTTGAGTCCTAGAGACTGAGCTCAAGTTATTAGGCTTAGCAGTTAGCGCATTTAACTACTGAGGCATTTCACTGGCCAAGAACAGATATTAAAATGTTAAAAAGTGTAAAACTGTACTATGGTGTGGGTCAGTGTTGGAGTGCTGGCCTAGTGTGTGCTAGGCTCCATGTCTGTCCTCACACCACAAATAAATATGGACGACATCAATAAGAGTGGCCTTCTTTCCCTGTGCCCCTCCCATGTAGGAGCAGACTCTGTACAAGACTGCACCTGCTAAGTCTTGACTCTTGCGAGGCGGAGCAGGTTCTCCTGGGGTCCTTCCTTCCTGTCTGATGTGCTGGCCAGCTCCTTCGACAGCCTGTCCAGCCAGCTGCTACCAGTTTACTGACCCTAGGACATTGTATCAAGTCCTAGGCTAGTGTGTTGAGATCCAGTGAGGATTCCCTGCAAGGTGAGGAGTCCTCAGGATTGGGAGACTGCCTACCGTCCCTGACTGTGACTCCAAACCCCACCCATTGGAACTGGGCTTCTATGATGACAATTCTTGGTTGTCAACTTGACTACATCTGGAATTAACTAGACTCCCAAATAGAGGGAACACCTGTGTGGTGTTTTTGCTTAATTTGAGGTAGGACGATCTACTCTGATCCATATGCTGAGGTGGGAGGACACACCTGTAATCCATATCTTTCTAGCTGGGAAAACCCACCCCGAATCTGGGCCACGCCTTCTGCTGGAAGCCAATATAAGGACATGGAAGAAGGAAGCTGTTGCTCTTTGCCTGCTTGCCCTCATCTTGCTAGCAAGTTCTTTCCTTCACTGGTATTAGAGCCTACTTTGGGAAGACAAACTGAGACATCCAGCCTGGCAGACTGAACAACTATTGGATTCTTGGACTTTCAATTCATAGCCAGCCACTATTGGGCTAACTGGACCACAGCCTACAGCCTGTTCTAATAAATCAGAGATAAGTGTGCACGCACATGCGCACACATGTACACACACACACCGAGGAAGGGAGAGAGAGATTTATAAGTTCTGTTACTCTAGAGAACCCTGACAAATACAGTCTCCAAGCAGCAGAGCTGAGAGGTGGGACCACTAGGGTGACAGGGTCATAGGAGACGGGTCCAGGGGGTGTGAGTTATGGAGGAATGGATTCGCTTGCTTGAAGGACAGAGTATACTCCCCAGAGTTCTAACACTCAGTTCTCATCGCTCCATTTTTTTACTACATCATGTTGCTTCCTGCACTGACATGGAAACTGAAACTCAGGGAGGGCTGGGGGTCTCCTGAGAGGCTGCATAGCAAGTCTGAGGTTCACACACACACACATACACACACACACACAAACACACACACACACACACAGGCTTTCTGTCCCTCTCTGCAGGCTCATGAAAAGCCCCTACCATCTAGCTGCCATCCCAGCCTGCCTCTGGACAAGGCACCCAGTCTCTATGTGCCTTTGCTGGTCTGTAAGACGATGTCCCTGGGCCTGTCTCTGTCTTCCTTGCAAACTTCTATTCTAACCTGAAGGCCCAGGGCCTATGCTTTTCCTGAGAGCCGCTCCACTGCCCCCTCCACAACCACGCCACTACCTTCCAACTCCACTGAGAGCACAGGATCTATGCCCCTGTGTCTAGAGGCAGAGGGCACCCTGGGGCTCAGGGAAAGAGAGGGCCTGCCATAGGATTAAACTTCTCTCCACCCACCCTCACATTCAGGGTCTTCACACCCAAGAAGGGATGTCCCCCACAGCTGTTTCTGGCTAGGGCAGGGCCTAAGATTACCAGACTGGGCCAGCTACTCAGCAGGACCCTTAGAATCTGGCTAGCACCTGATCATGACCCTGCTTGGCGTAAACACAGGTGGCCACAACTCCCTCCAGACTACAGAGGCTTGGGTTCCTTGACTCCGAGTACCCACTGGACCCTGCTTCTTCCTGACCTCCATGACAGCCTGATCCAGGACTTCAGCCCTTGCAACTCCTCTCCTGGCCCTGCATCAGGGCTGCTCAGCGGTTCAGACTCTGCATACAGCCTTTCAACCTTTGCCTTAAGCTCTTCCTGAGGCCACCCAGATGACCATGGCCTTATCTCGCTCATGCCCTCGACCTCTCCTGGCTAGCACCTGAGCTACATGTTATACTTTTCTCTCTCCCTCTGTATCCTCCTTCCCCTGGGGAGGGGTGCACCTGGCATGAGAGCCTATGACCCAGCAGAGCGGTTGGGGATGGGGACCCCAAACAGGGCCATGTTCGGCACAGGAAGCCGGAGGTGGTAAAGAGGGGGCAGCAGTTTTGGAAACAAGCAGAAAAAAGACAAAGAGGAAATACCCTTTGGGCCCCACCCTGCACCTCCTTCCCCTCCACCCACACACACAGCACAGCTCCCACCTGCTAACTGAGCCCCCATCCCAGCACCCCCATGGCTCCCTGCTCCCTTGGCTCAGCCCTGGAGCTCTTCTGCCAGTCCCTGTACTAAAGGTTCTGCTCATTGCTCTCCTTGGCTCATTCTGGCTTCCTCCCACTTTCCATCTTCCCCTGAAAATGCTGTAAGACATTGCCTTTGTCTATACAGCCAACTCCCATACTTCCCTTGGCATCTCACTCATTGCTAACCCTCCTGAGAGGTACCCCGATGCTGCCTGCCTATGCACATATGCTTTCTGTGCCTTGTGTCTCCCGACTCCCTGGAACCAAACCAATAATTCAGATGCCACTTAAGGTATATCCAGTTGGTGATCATGAACTTTTAGCCACTCAGACATTCTGAGAGCAACACTCAATGCCACCTCCTAAGAACCTGAACTAGGTCCCAGGCCCAAGACATCTGGGCCAGGCTGTACTGTACCCTAGCCTCCCAGAGTCCTAGCTGGTCAGCCAGTGTCCATCTCCTTGGGCTGTGCAGTACCCAGCTTAGCTCTGGCAGGGCAAGGTGGGGTTGCATAGCTTTCAGGTAGATTGGTGGCAGTGGTGACTACTCACGGGTGTGGCTTTACACGGATGTAGTTCTTGGGAACAAAACCTTCAGCTCCTCGGAGCTCCGCCTTGTACCAGTTCTGGTCATCTTCCATGTTCAGGATCTGTAGGCAGAAGCAACACGGCCACTTAGCCACCTACCAAGGTCTTGCTGTCTGCAGCAGTTCCCAGGCCTTTCACAGAGGGCAGAGGCCTGGATGAGGACCTGTTGCATCCCAGGGGCCAAGGCAGCCTGCAGGCAGATGGTCATCCACGGGGGCCTGTGCCTCCTGGTGAGGCAGCTGAACCATGCAGGCTTGTGGTTGTGGCATGGGGCATTGCAGCTTCTGTGCTCTTCCATCCTGACCCACCAGAGGCCTCGGGGAAAGGGAATAGACTTGTGATCCTCAGCTCTTATGATTGCAGGAGCCCAGAGCAGCCAATCAATAACCACTGAGATGGGACATGAAGTTGGAGGCCCCCAAATGAGTTGGTGAGCCCCAACAGATGGCTATGTTGGATAACATGCATTTAGGGTTTGGGGTGATAGTGAGAGTCAGAAATAGGGGAAAAGACAAAAGAGCCTGTGTTCTGATGAAGACCTGTCACCCCAGGTGGACTAACCAGAACTGGATAGAGAGTCACTAGGTAAACCACTGAAGGGTGGAAAGTGGGCCTAGGGAGGGGACAGCACACTTCATCCCGTGGGTACATTTGCCCTGTGTCACCCCGATTCTCAAGCAACCTGAAGAAGTTGACATCACCAAGTGCTGTTTCACAGGTAGGCTCAGAAGAGTGAACTTGACCAATGCAGCACAGCGTACAGTTGGCCTGGGGCTTTGGAAACGCTGGTCTTGGGGGCCTTGGACCACCACTGGCTTTCACCCCACTCTACTCCTGCTTTGTACTTGGAGCCAAGACTGAGGCCCCTCTCTGGTTAGAAACCACTGCAGAGCTGGCTCCCCCATACCAGAATGATAGAAGCAGGGACACAGACATGTTTAAGTATGATCCACAGGTGAGAAGCACCTGAGAGGCTGGGCTTGTGCTCAGACCTAAGTGTCTCCCTCCCGCCCCCCAGAGGCCTTGGAGCCAGGCTAAGCTCTTCCTTCCTTCCTTCCTGGCCTGAACAAGATCAGCAGCAGTGGGCAGACAGAAGCTGGCTCAGAACCACTTTCATTCAAAATGAAACAAAATTTCCCGGATGTGGTCACGGCTTGAGATAGAAGTCCTAGCCAATGTTCTTGAGCTCTGGTCACTTCTGCTGTCTCTAGGGTTTTGACTTCAGCGTCCTTATCTGTTAAATGGATGCAGATGTGGCCAACACCATACAACATCTTAGGCTGTAGTACCTATGAGGCCACTGTGTCCGTAACCCCTGCCATGTGCTGTCCTGCTTCTATCCATCTCTGGGTCTCTGGGGCAAACTAATTATGGAGAGGTGTGTGTGTATGTGTGTGTGTGTGTGTGTGTGTGTGTGTGTGTGTGTGAGAGAGAGAGAGAGACAGACAGACAGACAGACAGACAGACAGACAGACAGACAGACAAATACACAGACCCAGACAGACTGAGACAGACAGACATGAGACAGAGACAGACAGAGAGAGAGAGAGAGAGAGAGAGAGAGAGAGGTGTCATGCTCTTCCTCCAGTGAACAGTGGCATGGTGCTGTCTACCTAGAAGCATTGCCAGAGAGGATCTTCATCCCTGGTAAGAGTCACTCAAGTGCCAGATGGTGGTGGCGCACACCTTTAATCCCAGCACTCAGGAAGTAGAGGCAGGCAGATCTCTGTGAGTTTGAGGTCAGCCTGGTCTACAAAGCTACACAAAGAAACCCTGTCTCAAGACACCCCCAAAAGAAAGAAAAGAAAAGAAGAGTCACTCAGGGCCACATGTCCTGAGCTAGACTACCGGCCATGGGGTTTCCACCTAGATTTTCTGAGCAGCACCTAGAGAGGAAGCTGTGTTCCACCTGCAAGCTGGCACCACTTGGTATGACATGGTGACACCCACAAGAGCCCAACAGGGCTGAGGCTGGACACCAGCACACAATGTAGCCCTAGCCAGACAGGAAACACAGCTGCTGCACACATGACTGTAATGTTTTTAAGTTACAGACAGCAGGAGAAAGCACTCTGGGGTCAAATTCAAAGAGATGCCAAAAAAATCTGAGAATGAAGATACTGAGTAATGCGTAATGCAATATGCTAACAAACTGAAACGGATAGGAAGTCTAGATGTGTGGTGGTCAGTACTAACACCGCGACCCAGTTCATCATAACCACAGCTGGTGGCTGGTCGCACCAGTGAGGATGCAATGTACCCTTTTGCCCGTTCGGTTTTCCCACCAGTCTAAGGCAGGTCTAAAGCACAGCCAGTGAAAAATCAATGCAAAAAAGATTTCAGAAACAGCCCGTGCAAGGACTCTGAAGCGGGACCTAGAGGTAGCGTGTTTGCCTAGTAGGCACAAATCCTGAGTGTATCCCTAGCTCTGCAAGAGAAAAGGGGAGGGTGGCTGTGGTGCACGAGTCTCTATTCTAGCACTGAGGAGGTGGGGCAAGAGACTCAATGAAGGTCTGAGGCTAGCCTGAGCTACATAGTGAATTCAGGGCTGCCTGGGCTTCACAGGGAGACCTTGTCTCAAAAACAAGAAAGAAAGTCAGGGAGAGGGCTCAGCAGATAAAAGCACTTGTTACAAGTTTGATGACCCAGGTTCAGTCCCCGGGATCCACACAGTGGCAGGATAGAACTGACTTCCAGTTGTTCTCTGACCTCTACAAGTGTACGGTGGCACCTGCACTCCCCCCCACACACACAATAAATAAGTGCAGTTTTACAAAAAGGAAGAAAACAAGCAAACAAAAAGAGTATAACTTTGTGCTGGAACAGTCCTGACAACTCTGCAGCCTCAGTGATTTCCTGTGCTCTGGGCAGGGGAGGATAGGTTTCCGCCTAATCCTAATCCTCACCCCGATGGCGGCTGGCTCTGAGTTCTTACACGAGTGCTAGAGCTACACCCTCAGCCTCCTGAGTGCTGGGATCACTGACTGTGCCATCACGCCCACTCAGGTTTACTTCTGTATCTGCTTTGTGCTATGCCCATCAACAGAGCACCAGTTGCCTAGACGCAGCAACCTGGCCTGCCTGGCTGCTTGCTTTCTGAAAATTAGCTGAACTCTAAGCCAGGACCTAGGACCCACAGATGTCCCAGAGTCCTGACTGACAGAAGAAAGGTCTCTGTCTGGTTATAAGGGGCATTTCTGGGCCCTGCAACAGATTATTTTATTTTTCATTTATTCATTTTGAAACAGGACTCTCAATGCTATCCAGGCAAACTCCTAACTAAGTTCAAGCAAAATCCTCCTGCTTTAACACCACTTTTGAGTGCTGGGGATGCAGGGACATGCCACCAAGCCAAGGGTAAAAATTTAAGGCTTTTTATATGTTTCCCAGATGTCCATCTGTCACTTCACCTGTCTGTCACTCCACAAGGAAGTACACAACTCTCCACACTTTCAGCAACTTAGGAGATTTGGTTTGTTTGATTGGTTTTTGTTCAAAAGGAAGTTTTTATTTTACTATTATTATTATTATTATTATGGTTTTTCGAGACAGGGTTTCTCTGAATAGCTTTGGAGCCTGTCCTAGAACTCATTCTATAGACCAGGCTGGCCTCGAACTCACAGAGGTCCTCCCTGCCTCTGCCTCCTGAGTTATGGGATTAAATGTGTCATCACTGCCTGGCAAAAGTAAGTTTTTAAAGTAAAGTCCTGGGCATGGTGGCAGGTTACAGCACTCTGGAGGGAGAGGCAAAGGAGGGCATATCTCTGTGTGTTTCAGGCCAGCCAGGGTGACATAGTCAGATTCTGTCTCAAAGCAATGAATCGATTAAAATACACTGAAGTCATGCAGAGTGGGCAGAGGCACCAGTCATACAGCGTCTGTCATTCGTGCATCTGGGTAGCCGCCTGCTCACATCGTTTCTCTGGCAAGTTTCTGTTTGTGTCCCGTGTCTCCTTCCCCACTTGTGGTGTGGTGTCAAATGCCTTCAAGTCCAGCCATGGAGAGACAGAGGCAGGCTGATCCCTGAGTTCAAGGCCCACCTGCTCTACATAGTGAGTTCCAGAACAGCCAGAGCTACATAGTGAGACCCTGTCTCAAAACAAGACAAAAGAGCTCTTTACATATTACTGTCATTTTGGCCACGAAGTTTTTTTTTCTTACTCAGAGCTACCTTTGTGTCTCTGGCTCACCCAACAGGCCAGGACTCCTCCCCTCCCTCACGCACTTTTGTCGAAGTCTGCAAACAGGTCAAGGTCCTGCCTCCTCAGGGATTTTGTGTCTGGGCTGGGTGCTCTCTCTTCCCCAGGCTCTTTGCATAGCCAGTTCTTTCAGTGCCCAGGTTCCCACACCTCTTTTGAGAAGTTTCTCTGCCTTCCCTACCTGTGACAACCCTTCCAACCCCCAGCCCCCTGCCTTCCTGCCTGTGTCCTTGCACGAAGCTTGGCTAAGTAGCCCAGTGCTTGTCAAATGAATAAAGGGGGAAGCAGCTCCCCAGGTCTGCTGACTGCCCATGGCCCCCTGAGCTTGATATGAGCCTCTGTTGCTTCCACCCCCTCACTGAAAGCCAGCTGTGCAAGCTGCTCCTGCCTTATGTTCCCAGGTTCCCATTCTCATGGGCTTCTGCTGGGTAGACAGACTCCCCATCCCCCCCCCATCCCCATGTCTCAGTAGACTCTTAGCAAAAGTGATTCCTGCTCATCTTGGGAGTCTGTGAAGGAGAAGGCTGTCAGTCTTCATAGAGTTACCCCAGGGACCTCACTGGGCCCTCTGAGCCTGGACTAGAATCTTCTACACAACATTCCTACTTCCTGTGGGCCAGCTTCCCTTCAGCCTCAAGTGTGTGTAAGGATATACCCTGGGCTGGTCTCCAGAGTAGCCAAGGCCTCTGAAGTAAACTTAGATCTGCAGAGTAACCCCATACTCCTGACCCCACACCCCAGGCACTGCCCAGGTCAAAGTGATCGAGTGTGCTCAGGACCCAGGGCCAATGGCTTAGGCAGATACAGATGACAGCACCTTGCCTTGAAGAAGGGGATGCCACAAATATGTGTGGCTTCTTTAGACCCATACCAATCTTAGAACTTCAGCTTAGAGTTTCAGACACCCAAGGGACTGAACTAAGGCCCAAGAGTTAAAGCAATGGAGGTTGAGACTCCAGTTTACACTAAGCACATTCAGATACCTCCCCACGCCTTGCTTCACTGCACCCAGGAATGGTTTCCACACCCAGGAACTCTGCACCGAGCCTGGGTCCCATGCACAAGATGGCTTCTAAGAGGCTGTCCCCATGCTTGAATCTTGGGACCAGACTCAGGGTGCATGTTGCTCCGGTGGTCCCTGGAAGGCCAGTGGAGGCATAGGATGAGCTACTAGCTTTCCAGTGCCCCTGTTCTAGCATGACCACTCCTCACATCTTGACTCTGGCCCCTGGGCTCTCCCGTCTAAGTAAGGGCATTCCCGCTAGAGGTTTCACATATTCATCTGTCTAATGACTTGGAAGGGCACCATTTTGATCCAGAGGCGCCCAGGTGAGAGCAAATGAAGTTTATTATTCTGTTTTCCCTCTCCCCACAGTACTGCTGGATATTTAAATCCCAGCTCTCTTAGCCCCATTAGGTTAGGAGGTCTGCTTATTCTAGACCACCTTTCACATGCACACGGTCTCTGTCTGTCTCTGTCTCTGTCTGTCTGTCTGTCTGTCTGTCTGTCTCTCTCTCTGTCTCTCTCTCTCTCTCATACACACACACACACACACACACACACACACACACACACACACACACTAGAAAACAGGGGAATTGAACAAAGTCCTGCCAGGCACTGTGGTAGCAGCTGCCTCAAACTCTCACATGATCCCAAAGGAAGGATCACTAATACTACTCCCGTTTCCTAGATGGGGAAACTGAGGGGAGGCAGAGGTGGCTAAACCGAGTCTGTCTCTCACAGCCCAGACTACCAGGGTTCTCCTGGGCCCTGATTCCAACCCCACCATCCCTGTTAGCCCACTCAGCCCGCTCCAGCCCTCTGTACCTTGAGGGTATCCCCCTTGTTGAAGGCCAGTTCATCACTCTCTGTGGCCTGGAAGCTGTATAGGGCCACGGACTCCATCCCAATGTCCCTGGGCTTCAGCTGAGGACCTAGCCGACACTTCCTGCTTCCTGTGGTTGAGGACCACTTCCTTTGTTTTGAGTATTTGTTCTTTTGAAGCTGGAGCCGGAAACTACCCTTGATGGGGGAGAAACAGGAAGCAGAGACTGTCACCCATGTCACAGCTCAGGGAGGGTGTGCTCACGTACCTACTTAGGCTGTGGGGGAGTCCCAGTGTCCCCACTATGGGTGGTGCAGAGCCACCTCGTGCCTGGTCTCTGTCACCCAGTCTCCACATTTCTTGCTTGTCTTATATAGGGTTTCTTTTTTTATTTTTTTATTATATAGGGTTTCTATTGCTGTGATAAACACCATGACCAAGAGCAACTTGGGAGGAAAGGGTTTGTTTGGCTCACAGGTCCCCTAGTCCGTCGTGGAAGCCAAGGCTGGAGTCTGGAGGCAGGAACTGAAGTGGAGGCCACCGAGGGACACTGCTTACTGCTTGCCTCCCATGGCCTGCTCAGCCTGCTCTCTTACACAATGGGCACCCAGAACCACCTGCCCAGGGGTGACACTACTCACAGTGAACTAGACTCTCCCACACCAATCATTATTCAAGAAAACGCTCCACAGACTTGTCTACAGGCCAGTTTCTCAACTTAACTTGCCTCTTCCCAGATGACCTTGTCTTGTGACAAGCTGACCAAAAAAAAATCTAACCAGGACACGACTGATACTTCTAGAGATTCCTAAGCACCTGCCACATCAACCCCAAGTTCCAGCCCCTGTTCAAGACCCGCCCAACCATCTCCTCTCACCCACTCTACACAGCTCCCACATGTGCCCTCTGGTTTTGTTTTATTATTGTTTGTTTGTTTGTTTGGTTGGTTGGTTGGTTTTTTGAGACAGGGTTTCTCTGTGTAGCTTTGGAGCCTGTCCTGGCACTCACTCTGTAGACCAGGCTGGCTGGCCTCTGCCTCCCGAGTGCTGGGATTAAAGGTGTGACCACCACTGCCTGGCCACAGGTGCCCTCTTATTCCCTCCACTGTGAACCAACAACAGGCTCAAGTCACTGTGGAGGGCGCACCACCCTTTCCTTCTCACCACCCTTGTCTTCCTTCTGCTCCAGGAAACTCCTATTCACCTATCAAAACCTCACTTAAAAAGCCCCTAGTCTGCTTTATACATTGGGTACCACCTGAGCTACATGAAGATTATGGTTTGCAAGAATACAACCAAACCTCTTTGATGAGACTGTTAAGGGCTATGACATTGGTGCAGACAGCAGTTTTGTGAGTATTGGAGGATAGGTCTAACATGGAGAAACACAGCTATGTGTTGGGAACCAGAGTTCTCTATGGGAACCACAGTGAACCAGTATTCTCCAAACACACAAGGACAGCAACAGAGAACCCAGGCTATGGGATGGGAACTGGCTGGGTCTAGGTGAAGCCAGATTTTGTTGTTGTTGTTGCTTTGGTATGATGTTTTTCTAAAAGACAGAGAGATGGCTCCGTGGGCAAGAGCACTGGCTATTCTTCCAGAGGACCAGGGTTTGAATCCCAGTTCTACATAGTGGTTCATGGGCATCTGTGATTCCAGTTCCAGAGGGTCTGTGAGCATCAAGAACAGATACCCATGCAATCAAAAGCACTCATAAACACAAAACAATAAATCTTGAGAGAGAAAGGTAGACCTTTTTTTTTTTTAATTTAGGGTCTCACTTTTAGCATTGGCTGTCTTGGAACTCTGTGTAGACCAGGATGACCTACAACTCAGAGATCCCAGCACTGGGATTACAAGGTTTGCACCAATCATGCCAGGTGAGAAAGGTATTTTCCTAGCCTGGCACAGTAGCACTCAGGAGGCAGAGGCAAGAGGCCCTTGAGACATGGGCTAGCCTGAGCTACACAGAAAGAGTCTGTCTAAAAAGAAGTTCTTGTCAGTGGTTATAATCATTACTGTCATTATCTATGTGGTGCTCAATTTGGCCCTCATGTGGACCACAGTGGGATCCCATTCACCCTGTCTCCTCAGCCCCATGTCCTCGTAGTTCTGTGAACATGTCCTGATCAATCAGCAGTGTTTTAGCATTTTAGCAGACACAGAGGGCGCGCGCGCGTGCGCGCGCGTGTGTGTGTGTGTGTGTGTGTGTGTGTGTGTGTGTGTGTGTGTGTGTGTGTGTGTGTAATTTTTAAAGGCAAGGCTCTCTATGTGTCCCTGACTGTCCTAGACTCACTGTGTAGACCCAAATGGCCTTGAATCCACAGAGCTTCCCCTGCCTCTTTCTCTAACGTGCTGGGTTAAAGCTGTGCTCCATTGTGCCCAACCATGATTTGATATTTTTAAAGAACACTTCTAAAATTTAGTTTTTTTAAAATTCAGAATGCAAACAACTATGTATCATGATGGCATTGTTGAATAAAGCACATTGTAGATAATTCTCCCCCCTCCTTCGTCTCCCCCTCCCCCCTCCTCCAGTCCTCCCCCACCCCCCGCTTTCTGCTTTTGGGTCCCATGTGTTCTGTGTACTCATCTGCCCCTTTCCTCAGAACCTCGTTTTACTCTCTCTTAATCTTTCTAGTGTTTCACCCACATTTCCCCTTCTCTCCGCACACGTGTACATTATAAACCAGGATCCACATATGAAAAACCATTAATGAGTCCTTTTCTTTCCTGAAGTTTTCACTTTTCTTTGCAGCTGAACAGGTTTCCACTGTGCATGCACCACCTTGTCCCAACCCAGGCATCAGTTGACAGGCTCCTGGGCTGAAAGCGTTTCCTAGCTACTGTGTTAGAGCAGCAATGATCATGGATGTGCAAGTGTCTCTGTGGTAGGCTACAGTCCTTTGGGTACATGGCCTGGAATGTTATAGCTAGGTCAGATGGTAGTTCTAATCTTAGCTATGAAACCTCCATACTGGTTTCCTTAGTGGCCATACCGGTTCATATTCCCACGAGCAGTAAATAGGGATTCTCCTTTCCCCATGTCTATGCCAACATTTGTTGTCAGGTTCCTTGATGGTGACCATTAGGATGATGTAAGTTAGCAAAGAAGTTTCAGTATTTATTTCTCTGATGGCTAGAAGTGTTGAACAACTTTTGTTGTTGTTATTATTTGTTTGTTTTTTCAAGACAGAGTCTTACTGTGTAGCTCTGGTTGTCCTGGAACTCACTATGTAGACCAGGTCTTGAACTCACAGAGATCCACCTGCCTCTTCCTCCCAAGTCCTGGTATTAAAGTTGTGTACCTGGGCATTGGTGGTGCATGCCTTTAATCCCAGCACTCAGGAGGCAGAGGCCGGCGGGTCTCTGTGAATTCGAAGCCAGCCTGGTCTACAGAGCGAGTTCCAGGACAGCCTCCAAAACATTACAGAGAAACCCTGTCTTGAAAAAAAAAATTGTTTACCACTATGCCCTGATAAAATATTTTATTTAATGATTTTTTTCTTTTAGCTTTTTCAAGATAGGATTTCTCTGTGTAGCCCTGACTGTCCTGGAACTCACTCTGCAGACCAAGCTGATTTCAAACTCAGAAATCTCCTTGCCTCTAGTTTTTTAAAAAAATGTTTATTGCCATTTGTGTATCTTCTTTGTATGATTGGCTAATAATAAATATCCTTATGGCAAGGGATGGGAAGTACCTCCCTCCAACCAGCAACCAGAAGCCAGCAGAACACAACCCCTTGCAGAGGAAGGCAGTTAGCCCACCATGGAGCACTGCACCCTGGCAGCAGGAGTCACCCTGCTCAGCACTCATTAGATCTTTGTTTCTTTCATTCCTTCTTTTTTGTTTGCTTGCTTTCGGGTTTTTGTTTGTTTGTTTTGTTTTTCTAGACAGAGTTTCTCTAGTAGCCCTGGCTGTCCTGGTACTCACTCTGTAGACCAGGCTGACCTCGGACTCCAAGACCTCCTGCCTCTGCCTCCCGAGTGCTGGGTTACAGGTGTGCACCACCACTGTCTGGTCACTTACGGGTTCTTACTTACAGCTAGACTTTGAAGCTTTCCTCTAGAGGTTTCGGTGTTTCAGGTTTTAAATCAAGGTCTTTGATCCAGTTTAAATTGATCTTGTGTGGGATGAAATATAATAGATCTGATTTTGCTCTGAAATGGATATCTAGTTTTGCCAGCACCATTTGTTGAGCAGAACTATTTTTCATGTGGCTTCTGTATTTATTTCTCTGTCTGACAACATAGCTGCAGGTGACATTCGGAGGGCCACAAATGCAGCCAGTGTGCTCTGGTGAACAGGTGGGAGAAGTTTGAGTAGCCCAGCTCTCTCTTATAGCTTATATTCTGAAGGCTCATGACAATGTGAGATGTGTGCCAGTTTACACACACACACACACACACACACACACACACACACACACAGGACATATTAAAAAACAAAAACAGTTGAGGGGAGAGCAAAGAAGGAGAACAGCACGGAGTGATGGTGGCCTGCTCTTGAGGACCACGTGACCCCATACAGGCCTCCGCAGGGCCTCTGCCTCTGCTCTCTGCCCTTGCCCACCCTGTCACAGACTCAAGGTGGCAGGAAGTTAAGCTGCCTCTTTCTTCTTCAGTCTCAGGATGGTGTAGCTAGGGGTTGGCACACACCCACTCCAATCTGATATGGGAAACGCTTGCCCCTCAGAACCCTAGTGTTGAAGGCTGTAGGCTCAGGCTGCTGACTGCCCCTGGCCAGGACAGTGTGTGAGCTCAGCATCTGCTCTTCACAGCAGGGTGAGCACATCTGGGCTCTTGAGATATTATAAAATCCTTTGATTGGCGTGACCTAGAATGGGGGTGCAGGTCAGGATCTGGTGAGAGAGGTGGCAGCCACAGGCACAGACTCATTCATCAGCCCTCAGCTCTGTTTCCTACTGTCTGTCTTTCCTTGCAAGTCACTCGCTCATAAAGTCATCTTGGATTCCTCAAACAACAGAACTGGTTAATGAACATCATTATGGCAACGGACTGAAACAACCCCAGTAACCAGGAACCCTCACGACAACCCCCTCCCCAACACACACAGCAGAGGAGGTCAGTTACACCATGGATGAGCAAAAAGGACTTCCCAGACTACTTTGCAGAACCAGACCTGAGCTGATGATC